AGGTATACAGATCCTTGGAAAATAGACAACAGGTTGAGATAGAGGATCTGGATCGGCGCAGGCTTGGAGGGCCGAAGGGCCTGTTCCTGTGCTGTAATTTTCTTTGTTCCTTGTTCTTTGTAACACTCTTCCGCATTCACGAAAGAGGAATTGATGGGTATAGATTGATAACCAGACTCACATATTACACAGCAGAAACTGAGAGGGACAGATTGATGATTACACTCACATCTTCACATGACAGCTACTGACAAGTACAGAACAATGATTATCACTCACACACATACATTCATCGCCTGCAGCACAGCAAACAGTCCTTTCTCTCATCGAGTCTGCACTGTTAAGAAACAACCAGCCAACCATTCTACACTCATTCAGTCAGCATTCAATTTCCATAAATGTATCATGGTGGCAGAGGAACTACCATCTCCACCTTTATCACCGGATAGTTCTCAATTTCTTCACTTAGCAGGAATAGATTTATTTTTTATTCTATCCTCAGCAAGAGGACTTTATAATCGTGGACCTTTTTGTTTTCAAATTAGCTTAAATTTTGTTCAAATAGCCCTGTGTTCCTCTTGACACTCCATATGAATTATTACATAAAACACAAGAAAACTACATGCCATTTTTTCAAACAAGCAATACAGTAATATAACCATTCTCATTTATAATTTGCAAGGAGAGTTCAACAGTATTTATTCTTCAGTAAATTTAGTTTGACTATTCCAGTTTTGTCCACTGCATGACAGAAAACAAAATTTCAACACAGAGCAGGGTAATGTCCATGCCATAAAACAAAATCGAAGTAAATAAGCCAATTTTCTTTCCTGCACAAGCAACATTGTGGTCAGGCAACTGCAATGCAGTTGATTTGTTCATTTCACTTTCCCTTTGGCAATAACATATTAAATTAACATCTTTACTTGGGCAGTATTCCAAAACTTTTGTCGCTATGCAATGTTGAACGATGCCAATATCATCCTGTAAATATCTTTTGATATCACCACTGCTGGTTAGACTCTGCAATGTATCCGTTACAAAGGTCCATTGCTTTTCCCTCCTCAACTCTGAAGAAAAGCACAGACTCCTTTCTGTTGCAATGTCTTGCATTTTCACTTGCTTATAAATGCTGTAGGCACAAACAACTGAAGAACATAGGCTCTTTCCCATTTGCGACAGGAGAGATGAACCGAAAACTCTGTCCTCTCCCATTGTGGTAACTGGCTCTCCACTTTACAAGAAATATTTAAACTGCTCAGTAATGCAATACAGGAAGATGGAAATAGGATCAATTAAATGTATTTGTCATGTTTCATAACAGCGGCTCTTTTCAAAAACATCTTTCTGTATAAAATCTGGGCATTTACACAACAGAGAGCAGCCCTAGTCCTCAGTGTTAAATTTTAGTTTCCAAGTTCTTCACAAAATAATCTGGCTGTTCTCTGTTGACAGCCTGTCACATATGAGCTAAATTTTAAGGACAATAGACTGAAAC